CCGGTCCCGGTCCGGTACGGGCACGACACTGAGGGTTGCGATCCGTTGCCGGACACGAAAAAAGACAAAAAGGAAAAAAAAAAAAGAAAAGACAGCGTTCCTCCCTGCCCCACAGCTAATCACCAAGTCCAAGCAACATTACATCCTGAATTCCTTCATGTCTGCTCCCTATCTTCACCACCATGGCCAACTCACAGTTTAGACCTCCCATCTCTTGCCCAGAAAAAAGTAGTGATCCCTCAGATCCTCTCCCTGCCTCCATTCACACATACTCCTGACCACTGCCTATAACAGCTTTTCCCAAAAGCCAGTTCTTCAAGTGTGTTCTTCATTTGTGTTCTATCTGCACACCACTCCTACTATTATTTACTTAATATTTTTTCTTCATTTTGCAAAAGCAGCCATGAAATGACAGGTTTGATATGCTGGTTATTTTACCTAATACATATTAAAATAAACATGTAATTCCACAAGCTCCCATGCTACATCCACCCACCCGCCTGCTCCCTGTTGCTATGAGTGAACTGTCTGTGATCCTGGCCAAGCACAGCATTTCCACTTGGACCTGGATCCCATCCCCTCTCACCTACACTGGCCATCACTCCAACAACCCTCCCATCTCTCCTGCAACACCAATTTTTCTCTCTCTACTTGAACATTCCCATCAGCACACCAACATACTCTTATTCCTTCTAACTTAAAAAAGTCCCTTGACTTCACTTTCTTTTACAAATACCACACCGTTTCTTTACCTATTCGGCAAAACTCTTCAATTTCCTTCCTCCCTTTCTCCAGTCAGGCTTCTACCCACTGCTCCACACAAAACTGCTTTTATCAAGGTCACTAATGACCTCCACGCTGTTTAGCCCAGAGGTCAATTTAGGCTTAACTTTACTTTACCCACAGCATTTCACACAGCTGATCCTTGAAACCCCTCTTCATTCTGTTTCCAGAAATCACACTTCTGGTTTTCCTCCTACCTCTCTAGTTTCTCACTCCAGTCTCCTTTACTGATTCTTGCTCACTTTCCCATTCTCAACATGTTGGAGCTGCAGGGCTCAATCCTTCGATATTTTCCTTCTGTATCTACATGCTGCCTTGGTGATCTCATCCAGTCCCATGGGTGATATTTAGTCCCTCTATAAATTGACAACTCTCAATTTCCAATTTATTTCCAGTTTAAACTTCTCTGCTGAAATCTACACTTGTATATATCATATACCCAACTTACATCTCCAATAAGCATTTTAAACTCTACATTCCAAAACTGAGCTCCTGATATATCCCACAAGCCTGTTTCCCCCAGTTTTCCCCATCTGTATCAGTAAATAACAACTCCATTCTTCTAGTTTATCAGGCCAAAAACCTTAGGCATCACCCTTAACTCCTCTCTGTCTCACTCCACATCTAACCTATTACCAAATCCTTTTGACTCTACCCTCAAAATATATCCAGAATCTAACCATTCGCCCCATGCTTCCAGTGCTACTATCCTGGTCTACCTACCATCATCTCTCTCCTAGATTATAGAAATAGTCTCCTAACTGCTCTGTTTCTGCCCTTGTCTCCCTATAGTCTCATCTTAACACAGCAGCTGGAATGATCCTTTTAAAACCTAACTCAGATCAGGTCACTTGTAACCCCATCTCCACTTACATTTCCTATTCCCCTTTCTTGCTTTAAACTCCTCTTTTGAGCTGGCCTGTTAGCTCAGTCAGTTACAGCGTGGTGTTGATAACATCAAGGTCAAGGGTTGTGATCCCCATACCAGCCAGCCGCCAAAAAACAAAACAAGACAAAAAACTCCTCTTTGATACTTAATACCATTTCACATACAACATACTTTCCTTTTTTATCTGATTTACTGTCATTCCCACCAAAATATAATAAACCCCACAGAGGGCATAAGTTTTTGTTTCTTTTTCACTGCTGTTATCTTGACTAGAACAGTGCCTGGCAGGTAGCGGGTGCTCAACAAATATTTGTTAAAGGATAAACTTACTGAGAATCACCTAAAATCATCTTGCATACTACTAGGGAGCGTTAAATACTATATACCACATCTTGAGGAAGTTTGGCCTACAGAAGAAAAATCCAAGTGACTTGCACAGTGTTTAAGGGCCCTCGGTGATCGGGCCCAAAACCTCTTTTCCAGCCTTAGCTCTACCTAACCCCACTGCCCAGACACAGCTTACATAATGCCCCAGAAAGGAAAACCCTACCCCCCTGCTCTAGCTCCCATCTATCCTTTAAAGCCCAGCACTGCTGGCCTGTTAGCTTAGTTGGACAGAGCACAGCGTTATAACATGAAGGTCAAGGGTTTGGATCCCCCATAAGGGCCAGCTGCCAAAAAAAAAACAAAAGCAAAAAGATAAAACTCAGCTCAAAAACGACCTCTTCAATGAGCCCCCATGGGGCCCCCAAACACACACAATCCCAGAGTTGAGTCTCCCTCTTGGGACAAATCCTTTGACATAGTTTGACACTCAACCTATTAAGGATCACTCTTCTAGAAGTCCTGGAGGGCAAAAACTGCTTTCAACCCAGCCCATATCCACCTGGAGCCTTCAACAAACGTCTGCCGACTGACCCACATGGCCAGGCCACCTTACCCATGCCCCCCTCGAGCAGCAAACATCTCGTGGAAAGGGAACTGGCGGTGCAGGTCCTTCTCAATCACATCCAGCCACTTGGGGTCCCCAGGAGCCCGTTCCAGCTCCTGCAGTGGGACAGCAAGGATTATCTCAGGATCTGGGGGAACTGACACCCCTCACACAGGCAGAGCCACACATCCCACACCCTGGAGCTGCACGCACCTCAAACTTGCCCGGGTTCTGCTCCAGGAGTTCCTTGCTATTAGACAGGTACTGCCAGGCCTTGGCTCTGAGGGAGGAGGGAATCCCCTTCCGGCAGCGCAGCTTCACCTAAAGAGGCAGGTAGGAGACAGCTTTCAAGGACTGGCACAGCCTGTAAGCTTTCCCCAGCAGTCCTCAGGCTCCCTAGGACATTCCTCCCACATCCCATAGGCTTGACTCCACTGGACCTGGCCTGGCTGTCTACCTTTAAAGCTACTACTTCTTCCCCCAGGGCCCACCTACCACTTAACCCCATTGTGATCCAGAGGGCAGATATTATCAGCTTCCTAGGCTTCCCTGGAGCACAGGGTTACCCTCTTCCCCCCTCCTTGTGCATTGCCCTGCCCACCATTCAGCCTTCTCAAACCTTCTGGAAACGCCGTGACAGCCACTTATCCCAGTTACTGAACATCTCCAGCCACTTGAGCTCCCGCTGCCGAGCCACATCCACGGGAATGGAGCTCTCTCTGCAGGATAGGGGAGCATGGAAGAGGTCAGTAGCAGCAGTATAAAATCTGGTTGCTAGGGGAAGCCACCTCCCCAGATTCAAATGAGACACTGGACATTTTGTAAGCTACCAAACACCAGGATACCTGGCTACTTGACCATCCACAGCCCTAGTTCACCACACTGAAAGGCCTTCCTTCCCTTTTGGATCTTTATAGAGAGATCATGTTCAAATCCTACTGTGACACGTCTAAATTTAGAGAGAGTACAGAATATTTAAAAGCCACATTTTGCAGTATATTTGGATCCAAGTCCTAGCTTTACCACTTATTCATTGTGTGACCTTGGGCAAGTCACTTAACTTTTCTAAGTTTCAATTTCCTCATTTGTAAAATGGAGAGAATAACAATATCTACCCGAAAGGGTTTGATGAGAGGTTATATGAAATAACACATAGAAGGGGGCTCAGTAAGTAATAGCAATTATTATCCATAAAATAAAATACAGAACAAATGTACTTCTCTGTCTAAGTTTCAATTTCCTCATTTGTAAAATGGAGAGAATAACAATATCTACCCGAAAGGGTTTGTTGAGAGGTTATATGAAATAACACATAGAAGGGGGCTCAGTAAGTAATAGCAATTATTATCCATAAAATAAAATACAGAACAAATGTACTTCTCTGTCTCCTTAGAAGCAACTGAGTTTTGTCCTATCAGGCTCTTGAGATCCCTTGGCCGCCTGCAATTTCCTCTACCTCCTCCTCCCTGACATCACCCCAGATACCCAGACAAATGAAATTCTTTCTTTTTTTTTCTGACCAGCAAGGGGATCGCAACCCTCGGCACAGTGTTGTATGCACCACACTCAGCCAGTGAGCGCACCGGCCAGCCCTATACAGGATCGGAACCCGCGGCCTCGGCGCTACCAGCGCCGCACTCTCTCAAGTGAGACACGGGGACGGCACCAAATGAAATTCTCCTTGCCCTGTCTGCCCACTGTTCTGTCAGAGCTTCACACTCAAGGGGCCCCATCAGTCTGAAACAGTTATTTGTAGGAGTCAGTACCAGAGGTGAGCGGAATGGAAGAGTGAGCTTGGGTTTTAGAAATCAGACAGACCTAAGCTCAAGTCCCAGTTTTGTCCTTCAGAAGCTGGGGAGTCTTGGAAAGTGACAACCTGAGGCTCTTTGTTAGGTACAAAAAGGGATGCCACCACCTACATAACGAAGTTATGAGAAGACTATTGAGAAACTGTATATAAAGGACTGTTAAATAAAAGTGGCTCATTAAATATTAGCTTATTTTTGGGGGGCTGCAGGGGCAGCTAGCCAGTACAGGGATCAAACCCTGGGCGTTGGTGTTATCAGCACCACACTCTAACCAACTGAGCTAACCAGCCAGCCCAAAATATTAGTTTATTTTTGTTCTTGAAACTCAAACAGAAACCATCTCTCATTAATTTTTTTTTTTTTAAAGATAACCGGTAAGGGGATCTTAACCCTTGACTTTGTGTTGTCAGCACCACGCTCTCCAAAGTGAGCTAACTGGCCATCCCTATATAGGGATCCAAACCCATGGCCTTGGTGTTATCAGCACCGCACTCTCCCAAGTGAGCCACGGGTCAGCCCTCTCATTAATCTTTATCATAAGTCAGTTCCAAACTCTACTAAGGGTTGGAAAGAGCAAGATATCTTTCCTACCTTCAAGAAGGTCATAGTCTAAGAGGGGAGATAACTGCATTATGGTATGAGCAATGCAATGAAAAAGATGCACAGAAGAGGTACCTAATTGGAGTGGGGCCAATGGCTCTCAGGGAAGGCTCCCTGGAGGAGGGGACATCTGAAGTAAGCCATGAAGGACCCAGTAGAACTTAGCAGGCAAAGAAGGGGAAGAAGGGCATTCCTGGCAGGTAGGACAGCCTGAATATGAAGGGGGAGGGATGAACTAGTTTGGCAGGACCACAGCACAAAGTGCATGGTGAGGAGTGTTGGGAAAGAAGACCAGAGAGGGTAGCAGAGCTTTATGCAGGCCAAAGAGCTTGGACTTTATCCTGTGGACAGTGGCTGCTAACAGCTTTTAAGGTAACACATGCCACAGTTAGCCTTGCCTGAGAAAATTCCTTTGGCATGGAAGATAGATTTTAAAGGGGCAAAATTACAAAGCAAAGAAAAAATACCAAGCACAGTGCCTGGCACACAAGAGGGACTTTCTAAAATCGAATTCAACCCAAGTTCCTTAGAACAGCCTTGTACTGAGGAGAGAGTGACTGGTCACACAGATCCAGACTATCTGAGGGGGGCAATCCACTCAAACGCTCTGCTTCTTCATCTATAAACTGAGTCCTCGTGCAACTTTAGCTGCCTTCCCCACACAGAACCGTGAATGTCAGTGCTCAGTCAAAGGTTTTCTGATTTGTTGGCTTTTAAACGCTGCCTGTAATACCCTCCCACAGGGCTTCCCCTCACCCCACACGCACAGCCGTGACTAAATCCTACGTGTTCTTCACAGTTCAGATCAGCTTCAGCCAAATTCCCAGTCTGGGCAAAAGATCCCTTCCCTAGGTGCTCACAAAACCTTCTTGATGATTTTTAGGCCAAACCTAAAGTATTATATGGAAACCAATGAACCGTTTAAGTATGTCTTTCCCTCTAGATGATCAGCTCCTTTTAAAAAGGATTATTTTATCCTTAGTACTCAGCCCAGGGCCTGGCACCTGGGGGCTCAGGTGATGCCGTAGGCTGAACTGAGCAGCAGGTTAAAGGGGCATAGGAACAATGGGCAGGATCCAGAGAGAGGGAAGGAAGAAGTCAGAGGCAATCACATCCCCACTGAGAAGTGACTCAGGCCCCTGGAGGGAATTAGGAAAGAATAAGCCCGACTGGCTGGGGAGATGAGGAAATGGGGAAGAGGCCTCCCCCACCCGCTTTCCTTCAGTGAAAACACAAGACTGCCCCCTGTGTTTCACAGAGACACCTTGCCTTCAGGGTCTCCCTTCCATCACTCAGACTTCTCACTACTCCATGGGACCTATACCTATGGGGTAGGGGAGGTACCTGCGTCCCTCCCAGACTCTGCCCCTAACGGGGGTCTCTGCCAGAACCCCTGCCCAACCAACCCTCCAGAATAGCTGATGTGTAGCTGGAGTTTCACATCAAGGAGCTGGGATGACCTTAGGTATCATCTCATTCAACCCTCCCATTCAGAGAGAAGGAAACTAAGGCACAGAAAGAGAGAAACCACTAGCTCAAGGGCACATGACGAACCAAAGGCAAGGTTTAGCCTTAAACCCAGATCTCCTGACCCTGGTCTGAAACTCTCACTAACACACCAATGCCACGGAAACTTCAGGATGCTCTAGGTATGACTGCTGCCACTAATCAGCCCCAGGAACCTCAGAGAAGTCTGGGCTGCCAGAGTTCAAGCAAGGTGTGTCTTGGCCCCCTCCCCCAACCTCTGCTTCCCTGAGGCAGGCCCGCTGGGTACTCACAGGCTGCCCGAGTACTGGCTGCCCCCAAGGAAGCCATACTTGTCCGTCTTGCGCAGGGCCAGCCCATTTATCTCGGAGTCTGAGCCCATGGAGCTCACATCATCCGCCAAGGACTCCAAGGTTCCAGACATGAGGCTCACGGAGTCCAAGTAGCTCAGAGTATCCGGGGCCTGCCCTCGAGGCCCAGAGATACCAGGTCCCAGGCTGGACGTGGAGCCCAGGTCCTGAGAGTTTTCAGCAGGCTCTGGAGCTGGGGTCACCGTCACAACAGCTACTGGAGCCTCGACCGACCCTGGAGAGCCTGTGCCAGAGCCGGACGGGTCCTCAGGAGTCTGTCCTGCTGATGCAGGTGTTGTTGCAGCTCCATGTCCACTTGTCACCTGTCCTGCTGAGCCCCGGGCAGTCACTCCTGAGGCCACCGTGGTTCCCGGCTTGGGGGCAAGCGGGGGTTTGGCGGTCAGGGCCCCAGGAGCCGTTCTGGAAGGGGTCCTGGTGAGGGTCCCGGTGGGGGTCCCTGGTCCTGGGGCAGGTGAGGTTTGAGCCTCCTTCGTCTTCGGAGAGTCTGCCTCGGGGGCCAGAGCCATCGACATCTCGGCTCCTGCCACTGCCGCGGGCATAGGGGGCTCTGGGCAGGGAGGGACCTGCGTCTTCGGGACTTCGGGTGAGGCCTCCAGAGTCAGCACTACCACCGTGCTGCCCGTGACGGCCGGAGCCGGGGCCGTCCCCGAGACCCAGGTGGGCCGCGCCTCCCCGGGAGCCACCAGGGTGACAGGGGCCGAAGTGGC